ACTGGCATACATTTCTCTTTCTCTTTTAAAGTAATGTCTTTGCCTGAAGGAATAATGACAGGCTGTCTCTGCCAGTATATATCCATATTGTTTTTCACTAGTGCATCTTGCCCACATCGACAGAGAAAAGAATAAAGTATAGAAATAAGATGTATTTTAAAAGTACAATATTAAGACTATGATAGAATCTAGACTTGATTATATTTAAACACTATGTAGTTTCTTTTTCAAGTCTTTTTTTTGTGACCCTTCTTCAGAGGTTGTCTTGGTGATAAGACAAAAAGTTGTTGATCATAAAGTTGCATTTGGATGACTGTTTAATGAGTCTCCAGTTCCCAGGATGTCTGACTACAGTTCTAGCCAGCCTTTGATACATTCAGCTGGAAGTGAATCAATTAAAGTTCAATAGGTTTGCTAAACTTAACTCATCTTTCCAGAGAGGGTTTTAAAAAGCTTGCTTCTGTAAAGTATACATCAGTATGGAAATTCACCTCCAAGATCTCCTGGCTTTTTCTTGTCAATAATATTGTTTAAGAAATACTTCTTAAGCCTCCAAGGAGAGTCATGAATCAAAAATCTGTATTAGTCAATGAAAAATTTCTGTAGGGACTGGTAGCATATAAAAGGAGATCATATATTCTTTAGATATGTCACATTTGAGAAATCTATGAATTTGGACATTTATAAACCTCTTAAAGAATATATGATTCTCTGAATATTTGCCAACATAATTTTGAAATATGAAGGACAAGGATATAAACTAGAAATGTTTGCAAATAAAAGAGGGATACTTGGTAATAAATACTGAACTATTAAATATATACATCTTGGTTTTGCACATATATGTATGTACACATGTGTATTTATACACACATACCCCCTAAAGACTCAATACATATATTTAACTGTACAATTCTATAATTTCCTTTAATTTCTCTAATTTCCATTAATGCATTCTAGAGAAGTGACCATATAAAGTGAGCAAAAGTTTATATTTATAATAAATTATATATCCATGAACAAGACCAAACAGGAAGATGAAAATAAGTAAAACTCATGATTTTCCATTTTCTTCACACTTTGTCCTGATTGTGTTTGCTTTTCTAGATCCATTTGCAGTCTTCAGTTTTCTCAATAGAGTTAAAATAGTCCCAAAACAATTTTAATGCCTTTGTCTTATCTGCTCTTCAGTATGCTTTACAGTTGGCATTTCTGTAAGGTCAGTTACCTTTTCACTCAAAGTCATCTTTCTGATGCTTTATTTTTTAGAAAACTTCTATTAAATTAGGTAGAATTCATTTTTCATCAAAGGAGGTGATGCTTTATTCTATAAGAGCAAATAATTATTTGTTTGGTATGTGTGAGAGGGGGAGGGAGATTGCAGAATGGCTCAGAACTCACTACCTGTCTTCTCTTTCCTGGCCACATGGTCAGCAATACAGTGGGGGACTGTGATTGCTGCTGCTTCTTTTGATTTAAAAAAAAAAAAACAAATTAAATAACAGTTTGTGCAATTTACTTTATAGCTATTATCTACTCCTTAAACAGAGAATTCTGCTAAGAAAACTGTTACAGGTGTGAGGAACTTGGCCACCATCATCAACAGAAAGTGCTCCAGGACATAAGACGTATCCTCTTTCCTTGATTCCTTTCTTTTCCTTCCCTTACCTTCCCTTCCTTGGAATACTATTCAACTGAAGTACAGAATACCGGTATGTGTTCAATGTTCAACAAATGATTGTATTAAGGGGTGATAGAGAAATAACATGATTTGGGTGTACTGACCAGGAGGCTGCGACTCAAACATTGTTCCCTAGAACAGCAGAGTCAGCTCCAACTAGAAATACAGATGCCTGGTCTTCACTCCAGAGACACTGAATCAGAATCTTTGCAGTCAGACAGAGGAACTGCGTGTTTTAACACACTTTCTAGATGACTCCATGTGTACTAGTATGAGAATCATTGTTTCAGAGGCCAAAAAAAGTACTTTTTATATAAAAAAGTGGGATTATTTCATATAGTGCCTATTATTTTACTAATGAACATTGTACAAACTAATATACACTGATGATTAGTCACAGAGTCCTTTGCTAACAATACAGTATGTATTTATAAAGCTTCTGAGAAGTCTTTCATGTTGGTGATGGTCTCTCACATATGTTTGACCTCAACATGTAGGGCACATTATTTGGAATTCAAGAAATTGTTGAATCAATTGATTTTACTAAGTTTCTTCTAATTAACTGGCACATCTATGTCACAATGCTTAAAATCATATTAAGTTAATTTCACATTAAGTATACATTTTATAGATCAATCAAAATATAAATTTGAGAATATTGTGACTATATGAGAAACATTTTTATCCAAGAAATTCACTGAGTTTCTTTTTCTTTGGAGCTTAGTTTTTGTTTGCCTACATGATTGGTTCTAAACAACCACCCTCAGAAGGAAAAGAAGGGAAAAAATATAATGAATTGATTTCGATTGGTTCCTCATGTTATACTGCAGACATCTTGGATAATTTGGTAAAAGCTTGGCCAATATGCCAGCACACAGTACAGAGAACAATTATACAGTAATTCTTTCCTTTTTCTCTGAAAATACACACTGAAGTGCCAATTAACTACAGGCACAATGATCCATCTGCTAACTTTGCTATCACCTGAAGGCACATTGTCAAGGACTGCTTAAGTACCTCTGATGTTGAGCGATATTCTAAGATGTTACAAGTTATTAAAATAATATCTAGAGAGGAAAAATTATCAGTTAGGAGTCCTCATTGTTAAGTCTTTATTTACACTTGAGAGCAGGGTGGCATCTGAGAAGGAGCAGTCATGTGGCCAGAGAGGTGACCATAGTAAGTGTCCAACACAGAGAGCATGCGGGAAGTGTCTAACATCCTAACATAATGTTATAAAACACTGGCCCAGGGTCAGTAACACCGCATAAGCTCAGTGGGATAAGCTCAGTGGTTCGCTGTTATTAGTACTTAGAAGGTACATACTCAGTTAAAGAACAACCTTTCTACTTGTGCTGATAAGTGAGTGAGGATCTAGGTCATCTTCCAGACACAGGAAAGAAGATGAGAATACCTTCCCTACCTCCAATTTCTTTTTTAAATTTTTTTAAAGATTTTTATTTATGCAAAGACTGGGGTACAGGCCAGAGGCATCAGAGAATTCACCAGAGACAGAGTGGGGAGCAGAATAGGCAGACGGACCAAAAACACTGCTGATCTACCTTCGATTTCTGAACACTACAATGTTATGTTTGGGAAGCAAACTTTAAAGAAAATTGCCTCTCAGGAGCTGGAAGAAGCGAACAGAATGCTAGGCCATCATAGCATTACATGAAATGTTCCTACAAAAAAAATACATTAGCACAGTGGTTGGGCACCTTGATTTAAGAGGGCAGCAATTTCATTGCTAAGTTGTCACAGTTTACTAGTGTGAGCAAATTAGAGGACAGTGTCAGAGATCATGACTTTTGTATTTAATTAAACTTGCTTAGGTTGCTGATTCTTCTGCAAGTTAATTAATAGAGAACATGTGCAATGACACTTCTAAGGTGGGAATGTGTGTACTCACTCATGGCTTAATCATACAAACAACTAAAACACAAGCTTGCTTTTTTCTTAAAATGAATGCTACATCTGGAAAAAGAGAATTAATCTACCTTAACACTTATAAGATAATTGAACTAAAGATTTCAGAGCAAGGTTCTGACTTTGTCAGTCAGAACAAAGTTCATTCCCAGCCCATCACTTAGTGAGTGTGGAACTTTCTGCAAGTTGCTTAGTCCTGAGAATCACTGTCTTCAGCTGCACAATGGGAGCAGTGATAGTATTACGTTCTTAGTAGGATCAGTGCACAGAACATCCTGAGTCTTTGGGAATAACATGTGCTTTGAGTGTAATAAGTGCTCAATAAATGTCAACTATCATTATACTCAAGTTACACAAAAAATAAATGCTTTAAAAAGACAAGCATTGCATTCCTACAAATTTCTCTTTTTTGATACAGTTTCATCTTTGTATTATGTTGCCCTACCCCCAAAGATAAACTCAACAAATAAAAAATGATAACAAAAGGAGATCTCTTTCAGGAACAGAATTACAGAAGTTTAACAGATAAGGTCACAAGAATTAACAAGGAATCTATAAAACTACTAATATAGGAAATTATTTTAGCTTATTTCAAAAAGTATTTTCCCTTTACAGTACAAAGATTTTATACAATATTTCTACAAATTCTCAGTATCACCACTGAACTCAAATTATCATCAATTATTCCCTTTCTAATGTTTGGAGTCATAGAATATGTTCTTTCAGCTTTGTTATATTTTTAACACTTTAGGTAGAAATATTAGTCTAAAATACCATAATTTATCTTTTGAGAATACTGAGTTGAATCATGTTACTTGAAAACTTATTTGGCCATATCCCTGTTATATTTCCATTTAAAAAAAAAAAAGGAAAAGAAAGGCTAATGTTTCAGACTCTGAAAAAGAGTTTTTGTCAGCTTTAGAAGAAGAATATGGTAAAAGAACTCCTTCTCTTTAGGAAAACAGCAAAATGCAAAAACAGATCATCACTAACAGAAGCTAAATTACACAGTGAAGATGAGCTACTAAGATATAATTGATTTTGCCAGGATAAAAATGAAACAGCCCGAGCAATTATAATGAGAATCATTTTGGTACTAAAGAAGACTCCTTAACAATGGGCATGCATTCAAATTCTAGTGTGATCATTATAAGCTTATTTTTCCTTGTTCGTGTTCCCATGATAAAGGCCTTAAAATGAGCACTGGCATCCTAAATTGCTCAGTCTCACTTGCTGAATTTTTTTTCTTTGCTTTATTTTTTTGCTTTACTAGCCAAAGTAATCTTCCCATGTTACTAGAAGAATACACTGCAGAGCAGCACGTGCCTGTACAGAAAACAACAGTGAAGGCAACCCTGGCAGATCAGGGCATCAACAAAGGAAGAAAACTTACCTGTGGGCATTTACTCCAAGGTCCCCACTCAGACATGACACATTCACTGGGACAGAGAAGCGAGCAGGACTGGGTTTCTGGTGGAATTTCATCCTGGTTGCAGAGGCTATTATCCACTGTTCTACCTTCACTGTCCCCAGTGCTCACACATCTGCAAGACAAGATTGCAAGACATCTTGATTATTTAAAACAGTGAAGAGTATATTGAAAACAGGTGTGATGTAGCTTAGTTACCTGGCCCTCTAAGACCATTCAACATAAGACAGAGAAACCAGGGGGAAAAAGTCTGTCTTCAACCAGTGGCTTCTATGACCTCTCCAGTGATAACTCAGGGCAGAATCCACTCAGGAGAGAATAATGACATTGGAGACACTGTTATCCCTAAAGAATTCTTTTTTCCTTCCTTTTCAGGTATTTCTTTATATATATATATATATGAAGAATTATGTAATATATATATACATATATATATTACATCATTCTTCCTTTTTGTACAATGTATGCTTTCTTGTCTCTGGCATAGTCCCTATAAAATTCCCACCACCAATTTGCCCTTATTTGCCCGTGCACCATCACCATAGTCCCTTGTGCTCTTTCCTCCCCTCCCCTATTTTGATCCCTAAAGAATTCTTAATCTAAAGAGATCTAAGACATATTTATTTATATCTGGCACAGAGTGAATTTTCTTTTCATTGAGCAAATCTTGAAGGCTCTTCTCTCTGAATGAATCCATTCCTTGGCAATAGCTACAGCCTTCACAGTCACTGTGACTTCCTTAAACCTTTCTTCAACTTCTGTCTCATATAACTTAAACTTCCTGAATCTTTGTCTGATACACTGAAGGTCATTGAATATATTTTTCTTTTAGGTATTTCCTGAATTTCAGTAAGAAATGTTGCTGTCATAAACCAAAGGGCAATGACAAGGGCTTTCATGGAGTAACTGAGCACATGGCATATGTGCACAGGTTATAATTGCATGTCCCATTCTGTGCCAAGCTGAAGAGAAGATAGACATAATCAAGTTATTGATTAAATCCAATTAAAATCAAGTGTTATACCACCAGTAGCCAGAATGGCTTACAGAAAAAACATGGAAAATATCAAGGGTTGGCAACAATGTGGAACATTGTGACTCTTTTTATTCTGCTGGTTGGAGTATTCTTCAGAAAACTAGTTTTATTTTTTAAAAGATTTATTTATTTATGCATACAAGAGCTGGGGTACAGGCCAGAGATGGGGGGGTAGGGTGAGAGGATCCACCAGAGACAGCAGGGAACAGAACAGGCAGGCTGACTGAAATACACTGCTGAGGGGAGCAGCAGGCGAGTCAAGAGAATCTGCTGCGTCATTTGGGTAGCTCCCTGGCCAGCTAGGGATCTAACTCGTGCTGCAGTTGGATAGCTTCACAGTGCTGTGCTTAACCCCTTGTGCCACCAGGGAGGTCCCTGAACAGCTGTTTTAAATATCCTCTGTATTTGCAATTTCCTTTCCTTCTCTCCCTCTATTATTACCCCTTCAACATCCTTTAATCATATTTTTATTATGCACCAGAGAAAACTCTTATCAAGAGCTTCAGTAGACTCCCCCATTGCCGAATTCAATGGTCAATTCTCATCTCAATAGACTTCTCAGACTATTTGAAACAATTTATTGCTCTCTAAAAAAAAAATCAAAAAACCAAAAAAACACCTCTCCTGTTTGTCTTCCATTTTCTTGATTTTTCTCATATTTCACTGGTTTCTTCTCAATCTCATCTCATTTATAGGATCTTAACTATACATGCTGGAGTTCCGTAGGACTCAGTTTCTTATCTCTTATCAATATATACCAAATTTGTAAGTGCTGATGACCAAATTTACACCCCCACCTCTCTGTAAACTCCAGACTACAATAAATAAGTTGGAAGGCAGATGGCATCTAAAATTTAATGTGTTCAAAATTTAACTTTTATTTTTTTTTTCCTTTAAGTCTGCTTCTAATATTCTTCATCCCCACAAATGACACCATCATTCCATCATTGCTCAGGCCATAAAACAGAGTCATCATTTTTGATGTTTCTCTCTCCTCCACATTCTATAATTACTTTATATGCAATTCCTATGTAGTTTCCACGTGTATTCCAGATGTGACCATCCCACCATAGATATCCCTAAGGCCAATCTCACAATCGATCTTCCAAACCTATAATTCCACAATGGCCTTGAAGCCTTTACTCTTGCTTTTACCTTTATATCCCAAATTGTTCTCTGTTCTCCATCTGACATAGTTCATTTCAAATGTAAATAGGGGCAGCTTCTCAACCTCTGTCTCAAGCATTCCACACCTTCATGTTACACAACAATATCCTTTTACCTTTTTTTTTTTTTAAGAAAACTGCATGATTTGAGTTCTGGCACTAACCATATGAGGCATATCATATCATTACTTGTCTTCTTTTATATAGCAAGTCAAGCAGATTCCTGCTTTGGACACTCTTACTCTTAGAATTCTCTATTTATAGATCTTACATTCATTCAGCTTTCTATTCAAACATTGTGCTAACCAACCTCTCCAAAATAGTATGCTCCACCATTTCAACCCAAATTTATTTTTCTTCTGGGTATTTCTAGCACAGTAATTCTATGAGTGAATTATGGGTTGAAGTTCTCTGTGAACAGAAACATTTTTTTTTTTACTTTTATCCCCAATTCCTAAAAAGGAGTGTGATAACAGAAGGCAAATATCGATAAGCATCTTTTTATTAACAAATTATTACAGTCAAGAATAAACCATGAAGATCACCTGCTGCTTACAGGTTCTAAAAAGAGAACAGATCAATTGTTTCACTGATCATAACAGCACTTTATGAAGGTCAATAACGGTTTGAAATGCAGGATGCATGGAAAACATGCTTCACATATCCTACTGTGATCACACGCATACAGCATATAACACAGTGGATTTGTAGACATTTGCGAGGGCTGCCACAACAAAGATACCACAGCCTGGGTGGCTTCACTAACATAAATGACTTTTCTCATAAATTGTAGAGGTGAGGAGTGTGGCATCAAGGTGAAGGTAGCGTTGGCTTCTCCAGAGGTCTCTCTTTGGCCTGGTGGCTGTCCCTTCCCTGTGCCTCTGTCCTAATCTCCTCCTCTTCTAAGGATACCAGTCAGACCGGGGCAGATTCCAAATGACCTCACTTAACATAAAGGAGCTTTTTGAAGATTTTCTCCAAATACAGCCACGCATTGCAGTACTAGGGACTTCAACACAGATTTTGAGGAGATCATCAGCCCATAAAAGAGTAATATTCAGACGCTGTGTTATTTTTATTATATCAGCTTCTGTAGGTTTGAGGCGACAGGTATGGTGCCCTCTTGTCCCTGTGTATTTTTCTCAGTCTGCTACAATTCTCCTGGTAAAATATATATTTTTTTAAAGCTTTCTTTTCTCTCCTGAGATTTTGCTTTAATATTGTTAGTGGGGGGCCTCCTCGGTGGCACAGCGGTTGAGCACTGGGTTGCAAAGCTGCCCGCAGCCTCTGCAGCGCTGGTTTGATCCCCGGTTGCTCCCCGGCCACCAGAAGAGGGTCCCACATGGTGCGCAGACCTCTCTTGCCGCCCGCTGCTCCCCTCAGCAGTGTACTTCGGTCCTTCTGCCTGCTCTGCTCCCTGCTCTGGCTCCGGTGAATTCTCTCACCCTCCCGCGCTTCTGACTGTACCCAGCGCTTGTATAAATTTAAAAAAAAAATGAATCTTTAAAAAATATATATATTGTTAGTGGGCCTTGCTGGGGTAAGAGTTACAGACAATACAGCTCATGTACATTTTACTTGATAAGCTAGGTTGCTTAGTCATTTCTCAAATCTATGAGAAAATGAAACACAAGAAAGAGAGATTTGAAAGAAAGAAGTAGGAACCCAAGTTTGTGACAGCCTGAGCACAATAGTCCCCAGGGAAAAGGGCAATGAACTGAGAAAGAATTTGTCTATTAGTTATTTGGGTTTGCTTTTTTTTTTTGAAGATTTTATTTATTTTTTTGTAGATCTGGGGTATAGGTCAGAGATACAGGGGTTGAGAGGATTCATCAGAGACAGAGTTGGGAGCAGAACAGGCCGCTTGACTGAAATACACTGCTGAGGGGAGCTGCAGGTGAGACCGGAGAGGTCTGCTGTGCCATGTGGGTTAGCTCTTTGGCCAGGGATTGAACCCAGGCCTTCAAGCTGTTACTGCTGAGACTCAACCTCTAGGCCACCAGGGAGGCCCCTATTATCTGTGTGGGTTGTTGAAGAAGAGCACCTCTATACTTTTGACAGCAGTTAATTCTTCTAACATGCCCACCTGTGATTCTGCAACATTTGGACTAGGCCTCAGCAGTGGCAGATATATCTGAATAACTTTATAAATAAATTCACTGTTGTTGATTAACAACCAACACATATAAGTAGGATCTCCCATAGCAACTGACTTCAGATGTATAGAAGAACTGAACAAGGAGTTACCTAATTTGGGTACTATCCATTTGAAACAGAACTTCCTAAATCTGGCAAAATGATATGCTATGCTCATTCAATTGATTAGTTGACTATGATATAGTTTCTCCTTTATTTTATATACTAATAATTGTTTATCATTAACAGTTTAGCTTTTCCTCAATTTCTCATACTGATTAACACCTGCTGTATTTATAAAACTAAAATTTTAAACCAGTTCCATTACTAAACAACCCAGTATTCATAAGTACTTTCAGAGACGTGCTCTTTTTATTCAACGATATTGCTATTATTAAGACTATAGTTTCCAAGGCTAATAATGGGAATTTAGATTGGCCATTTCAGTGTACTGACCTCCAAAATTAAGATAATATCCATCAACTCTAGTGTCCGAGTGGAAAAAAGATACAAGGCAAGAGTTAAAACTTGCTTATTTGTGGGCAGTGAAGGCCATGGATCAGTGGAACAATGCCAGTTTGCACAAGGCAGTTGACTTTCTCACAAAAGCCACTTGCAGAAAATGAGGACCATGGCTGCACTGCAGAGGGAATGTCACTGGAGACATGGCAAATAAGGGCACAGTGCTTTTGTGGGTACTTTAAAAGATGAATAAAACAATAAAAGCAAAGCAAACCATATGGGATGAAAATCAGGTGTACTTGGAGAAGCAACACTGTTGACTTTATAAAAATGTATGTTCCACTGCTCCGTTTCCCAAATGTCTCCATTCCACACACCTGATTTTCCGAGATTGTGTTCCTCCTCCACAGCGCAGGGGCCGCAGCTCATTGTGGATTTTGCAGGGAGACCAGTGTTCCGCCAGCCAGGAGTAGCTACTGCACACACTGTAACATGGGACTGCCTCATGCACCTGTCAAAATCAGAAAAGGAAAAAAAAAATATGTGGTACTACCCAAGTTATTGAAAAATAGACTATCTTTTAGTAATGACTGCTGAGCATAACTGGAGAACTCCACTCTGGCCCACACGGTCAAATTACATTCCCCAAAAAGCAAGATACATTTGGCTTCTCTGATATTACTGACTTGCCTAAAGAAGCATATAGGAGAAATCAACTAAAATATGATGTGTTCCTTGGCAGAAGAGAAAGGATAGTCATTTCCTACCATGGAGAATAGGCATTCCATTATCATTTCATTTCCTCAAAGAGCTCACACAGCATCTATTAGAGCCCAGCTCTCAATTATATGGTATATTGTATTCTCAGAAGTACTTTAAGATGCCAATTGAAACAAATATATGTAAGAAAAATTTACTCTTAAATATAAGAAGTTCTTAGCATGCATGAGGAAAGTGGTATTATTTGCACTGGAAAAATTTTTTTATGCCCCCAAACGATCAACACTAACAGGTAATCATTTAGCCTCCTGGGCATTGTGGTTTCATATGAATTTAGCTATTTGTAGAATGTTTTCAGAGCACAGCTAAAACACACACTCATATCCCATGGCATAAACATACTAAATATTGGCTATGCATGATTACTGATTAGGAATGTATACAATTTTATGGTTAAAAAATAATGAATATAGTCAGTGAATTAGGTTACTTTATATGTATTTGTTTGTGATTTTTTTTCCCCTGAAATTTCATCCCAATTGAGTTTGTCTGAGGCTGAATTTAAAATATACTACTCTTCAATATAGCACTCCCCCTTCATAAGAAAAAAAAAGTTCCATTTTGTGACATGTTAATGTGCATCACAAAGTTGGCATGGTGATGAAGACTACTTTAATCTATTACTAACACAGTTATTAATGCCTTTCCTTTTAAAGAAGAATTTAAGCCTGAGTCATAACTAGCCCCTCCCCACCCAACACACGCCTTTCTAATTTCATAAATTTGTAAATGCTGATGAAGGAGAAGGAGTGCAGGCCAAAGAGAACCATTACTTGTGCATTTCTACTAAACGCAAGGAAAAGCACCATGTAGAGAGATAATCAGAAAACAAGATTGGAGCACTGTCAGCATGTTAGATGGAAATCGAATGAGAAAAGGTTATTTGCGAGACTACATCTTAGGAATCACAAATAATGTCAGAAACTATTTTTAACTGTGGGGTAGAACATGTGGAGCACATAAGGATAAGGGAAACCGCAAAGTGAAAATATGTGAGGGCACAATGAAAGGAGATGGGAAAATAGAAGTGGATATGGGTGTGAGGAAAGTAAGGAATTAAGTAATAAAAGAATCACATTTCATGCTGTGAATGCTGACAAGAAGGGAATGGAAGGGCCAGAAGCACTGCCTACATTAAAATAAGGTGGTAATAACTTGTAAGGGAGAAAACTCTGCCCTCAAAATTCAAAGGATAGTGAGGTAAAAGAAAAATTTATCAAAACAAAAAGATATAACTCCTGCTGAACAGACATTTGGAAATTGAGTTGATGACAGCTGAGGGTTTAGCTGACTCAAATGCACCATGGAAAAGAAGCTTTCACAGAATTTATCGGTTTGTTCTATAAATTCTTCAACATGTATCAGACCATTAAAAGAAATCCTTTTGACTTTCATATGGGATACAACAAAGTCTGCCAAAGCACTTTGCACAAATGGGTTGGGTGAAAAAATTCACTAAAAAATATTCTTTCTTACACCTCATGCATGAATCTGAGAGCAAATGGATGGGGTATCTGAGATAGAAATATTTTTTTTCTAAGGCTTGTAGTAATACGAAGAGCTTACATTTCCACCCTTCCACCCCTTTGAAGCCCCAAGGTCAGATGGAAAATGAAAAACTGTTTAGTTGCATATACTTTTGATATATATATATATATATATATATATATGAATGCTGACCACATACTGGTTTGCTATTTAATTCTTTATGCTCTGGGGGTCTGCATCTGTAGCACAGCAGCTAACTTCAATGACAAACTCTTAGAAAATATGGAGCAGGTCTATGGAGGAAGATGTTGACCTAACTTCTTGACCAATGATCTAAAAAACAGCACCTCTTAAAGTTACTTCAGTCACATGGACTTGATTTCATTACCCCAGACCTGTCTGCCATCTTAATTTTGCCTGTATTGTCACTGCTCTCTGACAAATCCCTGCCACTTCACAGCCCAAATAAATCTCACCATATGTCTGCAAGACTCTGCCCATGACTCCAGTGGGCATGTCTTTGGCTGTCAGCGACAGTCTATTTTAAGGAAACTTATAGTCAGATTGTAAGATCAGGCTACATATATATAGAATGGGGACAGTGGTAGTGGTTGGGGTATATAATGTGGATGGGGGAGCATGCACGGTGGTGACAGTCAACCTGTCACATATTTCTACATGTGTTTCTTATGCCTACACACTACTTTCACACTTTTCTCACTTAGTCTTAATAAACATGTCTACTTTGCACCTTAAATAATACTGAGAGAATATGCACCGAGAAATGCAAATTTTTACTCTCCATGTTTAAAAACGTTCTTGTTCTAACCAAATTCAGATCTGGACTATTGGTATATGTTCAAGTGTTTGCTTGGGAAAAAACAACTTGTGAGTCTCAGGAGGCAGGCAGGCAGGCAGGTGTGTCTCCATGATGCCTGAATTTCACCATATGTAGAGGAGGGTGATCACAATGGGTGTTTGTTGACTTTAAGGTAATATTTGAAGGGCCCACGTTGCTAAGTGACCCTCACTTAATTCTCTAGAGAAAAAAAGATCCACTACATGGAACAGATAAGGGAGAGTTTATAAAACCCAAGGACATTAACAGCAAAAATGAAAATCTTTTCTTTCCATTATGTAGCTTTGGTGAAGGATAGCAATCTTTAATGTCATCAAAAGATGCCCCTTGGAGACTCTGTTATGGGAAAGAAAGGCTGTCCCTGAAGATTTGTGAGAATTGTCTCTGTAGAGTCCTGGTCCGCCAGGCAAGAAATCTTTCTTAGAAGACCAAAAGCATCCACAAGAGGAAAAAAGGAAGCAGGCACTAAAAAATAGAAATTACCTACCCAAATGCCCAATTTCTTCCCTGTCAGTTACTTTATGTTCTGACTATTCCATATTGTTATTTAGTTGAAACCTATTATAGTTCTATAATGAAAATGTGTTAAAGCATAGAGTTTATCAGGGAATCATATGGAAATGTAGTAAAGGAGAGAAATGAGCCATGGGAAAGTTAAATGAAAATCATTTCAAAATGGCCCAAATTAGGAAGAAAATAAGAGGGCTTAATAGGGACACAGTGGCTAAAATACGCTACTGAAAAATCTCAATCCTCTGACAGAGGTAATATTTCATTTTCCTAGTAATGAGTCCTATTTATTATTTCTTCATTGGGGAATTATATGTTATAATTTTGCTGTTTCACCGTCATATCATAAACTTACTAAATCAGTCTCAGTGCTTATTAAATAAGCCTCTAGTCATTGTAATTGATCAATTTAATTAAGTACTGTTTTCTGCTATTCCTCTCCAGTTACAGACTGTCTTCCTGGGCATAAACATGGAAACAGGATTTCAGTGGGGATCAGCCAAATCATTGTTGCATGTCAGAATCTTAGGGTTCAAAGGCTCCAGTAAAGCAAATGCTCCATCAACAGCCACCACAATAAAAACAAAACCGGAATGTAAAATCCATGGCTTCCAATTTTCTGTAGCATTAGTCCTTTGATACAGGGGAAATTGCCAGTCAAAAGCCAGGTATAAATCTTCAACTTAAAATCTCCATACAGACAATTATAAATCTGAGACATCCTGCAGGGGAGGAGGAGGGAGAGGGATCAGAGGGACAGAGGGAGGAACACAGGGGATTGTGGTGATGGTGCACGGGTGCACTGGGGAAGGAAATTCTATGAGGACTATATCTGAGGGGTGGGGGGAAGCAAATATTGTTTAAAAATGAACAATGATGTAAAAAAAAAAAGAAAGAAAAAAAAGATCTCCGTACTGAGTGCTGTGGCTATACAGTAGAATTTGAAAATCAGTTTGAAGGTCCATCCGTAACCAGATAGTCCTGTAAGTCAGAGCTAGCGTTTGTCCCACTGGAATATGAAAGGAAATGATCTCCAGGACTCATGTAATCAACAAATCATATGGACACCCTTCTCCTTCAAAGTTTGTGAACTCTTTTTTTTTTTTTTTTAAGATTTGTTTATTTATATAGGAACCACGTTACAGGCCAGGTGTGCAGGAGGGTGAGAGGATTCACCAAAGACAGAGCGGGGAAGAGAACAGGCAGACGGACCGAAAGAACTGCTGAGGGAAGCAGTGGGCACGACAGGTGAGGTCTGCCGCACCATGTGGGTTGCTCCCTGGCTGGCTAGGAATCAAACCTGTGCTGCAGAGGCTGTGGACAGCTTCACAGCGCTGCGCTCAACCTGCTATAGCACTGGGGAGGCCCAAAGGTTGTGAACTCTTAACATGAGTAACACATTTGCCTGTTAGGTCTAGGATCCTTCATCTCTTGATTTCAAGAACTTCCCTAATCTACTAGCCCTTCTCTACTTTATCCATGCTTCCTCTTTCCTCCCCCATGATTCACACCTTCCCATCAGAAGGATTCTCTATGCTACACCCTCCCACAATTACCTAATTCTTCCCCTTTTTCTTATTCAGTCAGCTGCTAAGTTATGCTCTCCTCTATTTTGACTTACCTGATTGGAAAGTCATTTATATAAATAACCTTTTGCTCCCATTTTTGTTTATCATGAAGTTATAATTGTGCACAAGGCAATATGTACAAAGACAAAATTCAGCCCTAACACAACTGCATCCATGGGCTTTAGAACTGAGTCTACCAGTAGTCCCTGGTCATCAATGAGACCACAATGATGCTAGAAGATAACAGCACAGTAAGACATTTTGATGTTGACTTCCAATCATCACAATCATTTGAGCTAGATGATG